GTCCCACATTGCCCCCCCCCCCTTTAATTTTAGTTTTCTGAGAGCCTGGCAAGCCCAAAGTTGTCACTCTGTTTATAGCTTGTGAGTGTCCCAGTTCCTGCCTGACGTGGCCGACTGTCACACCGGTTAGTTCCCCGAGGATTCACGGCGTGCCCATGAAAACCCGAGCAGGCGTTCGAGGCAGTGGGCACACCGTAAACCCAGCAGGCATGGCCCTGGCCTCCCAGCGCTCACGTTCCTGTTGGGGAAATCGGGTGAGAAACACACGAACGGGTCCCTTCAGATCGCAGCAGGTTCTGTGCGGAAAATAAGAGACAGGGAGCCAGGCGCCTGGGTGGCTCAGTGGGTTAAGTAACCGACTCTAGACTTCAGCTCAGGTCCGGAGATGGGGTGCGGAGACTGCTTGAGATTCCCTCTCTCTCTGTTTCTCAAAGAAAGACAATAAATTTATAAAAAAAGAGTTGGGCAATCAGTGGTGGGGGGGGGGCTGCTGTGTGGTCTGTGTGGTCAGGGGCTGTGCACAGAGGAGCTGGGGCTGGTGGAGCGGGGGAAGCCGTGGGAGTTGGAGGCCTGGAAAAGCCTGCTGCGCAGGGGAACTGCAGGCAGGAGACCCGGGGAGAGGGGAGTGCAGGTGGCAGGTGAGGGACACGAGGGGGAGGGAGCCAGAGCCCATTGCAGAGGGGAGAGGGCCGATGGGCCAGAGAGGGCAAGTATGTGCTCAGGGAGGTGTTCTCTCCACTCTTCTAAGCAGGAGGGCGGCGTGAGAGCGATGTGGCTGCTGTTTGCAGGAGGGACCATGGGGGCAGGAGAAGGGCGGAGGTTGGGGGACAGCGAGGGGTTCATTGCCGAAGCGTGAGCAACTGAGGATGGTGGCCCGGGTGGTCAGGTGGCCCTGGTGGTGACAAGAAGCAGGCAGATCTGGGTGCTTTCTGGAGCCACAGCAGCATGATTCTCCCCCGACTGTTTTAGAAACAAAGAGGGGCGCCTAGGTGGCTCAGTCAGTTGAATATCCCAGGACTGATTTTGGCTCAGGTCATGATCTCACAGTTTGTGGGTTCGAGCCCCACATTGGGCTCCATGCTAATGGTGCAAGCCTGCTTGGGATTCCCTCTCAAAAATAGCTAAACATTAAAATTTCTTTTAAAAATAGGGGTGCCTGGGTGGCTCAGTCAATTAAGCATCTGACATAAGCTCAGGTCATGATCTCATGGTTCATGAGTTCAAGCCCCACATCAGGCTCTGCGCTGACAGCTCAGAGCCTGGAGCCTGCTTCGGATTCTGTCTGTCTCTCTCTCTCTCTCTCTCTCTCTCCCCCCACCCTCCCACCCACCCCTGCCATAAATAAATAAACACTGAAAAAAAATTAAAATTTTAAAAACAAAAAAACAAATGAGAGAGAAGGGAGATGAGGACGAGGCCTCTGTTTGAACCTGAGCACCTGGGCGAATGGCCGGGAGAGGCAGGTCTAAGCAGGGAAACACGGGGCCTACTCCGTTTAAGTTGCTTGTTAGACATGGAAGAGGACAGGTAGGGAGAGAGAGAGAAGCCCAGAGTCACCAGCCTGTAGGTGACGTTTAAGCCAAAACATTGCAGCGAGGGGCAGAATTGGACGGGGGAAGAGGAGGGCCAGGTGGGGGCGGGGGGGGGGGGGACTGAGCCTGAGCCCTCCTCCCGGGTTAGGTTAGCAGTCAATGCCAGCAGTGTGAGTGGCCAGGAGGTAGGAGGAGAATCAGGTTGCCGGCACCCTGGCAGCCTCTAGAGAAGAGTCTGCCGAAGGAGAGGAGAGAGACAGAGCTCGTGGCCTCCGCGCCCTCACAGGCCTCGTCCATCCAGGAGCCCGAGGGCGGCTGGCAGGCCCTCGCTACTTGTGCCCTGCTTCTGGGGCCAGCCACCTGTCACCTGAGGCGTCACTTCTGGTGTCCCCTCCTGGGGACCCCAGAGCAGCTCTTGGCTGCCTCCAGCCTGGCCCGGCCCGGCCCTGGCCGCCAGTGCTCGAGGGCTCCAGCTGTGGCTTCTGTCCTCACCGCGGGCCCCCAGGCCCCCGGAGTCTGTCCTGTTTATGCCAGGCACTTGCCTCCTGCTTTACTACTCTCATCTTCGTATTCTCTGTTCTGTATAGTCTGTTGGTTTTATTGAGTGGTTTTCTCCCCGCCTCAGGTTAGAGCCAGCCCCTCACCCTACAAACGAGGAAACTAGGCGCGATGCCTGGGTGGCTCAGTCAGTGAAGCGTCCAATTCTTGATTTCGGCTCAGGTCATGATCTCATGGTCGTGAGTTCAAGGCCTACATCGGGCTCCATGCTGACAGTGTGGAGCCTCCTTGAGGTTCTCTCTCTCTGCCCCTACCCTGCTCGCTCTCTCTCTCTCTCTCTCTCTCTCTCTCTCAAATAAACTTTAAAAGAAAACTTAAAAATTTTTTTAAAGTTCATTTATTTTTGAAGGAGAGAGAGTCAGAGCACGAGCAGGGAAGGAACAGAGAGAGAGAGTGAGGGAGACACAGAATCTGAAGCAGGTTCCAGGCTCTGAGCTGTCAGCACAGAGCCCCACAGGGGGCTCAGACTCACAAACTGTGCGATCATGACCTGAGCTGAAGTCAGATGCTTAACCGACTAAGCCACCCAGGCGCCCCCCAGAAACCCTTTAAAACAAATGAGGAAACTAGGGTTTGGGGTAGTTGACCCAACGTGGTCCTCCTGGCAGGCCTTTGTCTGGGTCTCCCCGTGTGTGTGGCTTACGGCTCCCGGCCCAGCGCTCTGGCCCTCTGTCCCATCCACAGCAGCTCTGGCCACATGGGACCCTCTCTCCGAAGCCTGGCCGTTTGTCAGAGGGGGGACTCTTCTCCGTCTTGCCTCCCTGAGTGCGCCCACCTGCTCGGGACAAGGAGTCAGGAGACAGCCCAAGCCGAGCCCCCTTTTCCTCCCTCCCTTCGTCTCTGAGTCCCTGGTTCCTTCCTAAATGGATTAGGACTCTGCAGGAAGGAGCCAACAGCGGTCTGGGTGACCCGGAGGCCGGGGCCGTCTGGTGCCTCCTGCTTTGCCCTGATTCAATTTGGGCCTCGGCAGCTGGGAGGCTGGCAGGCTGAGGTCCGTCTGGGGACGGCTCGAGGGGTGGCCGAAGGGAGGGGAGAAGCCTTCCAGCGCCCCGGGCGGGCAAACCTCTCAGCTGCTCACACGGCAGACCCTCCGGTGGTCTTCGTGCCACAGAAGGCTCCAGGGGAGGCCACCGGCTGCCTGCTGGGCCCTTGGGATGTCCCGTACGTGGCCTGTCATGCCCTCAGCATCCCTTAATACTGTGGACTTCAAGCATTTGTAAAATTGCAACCTGGGAGAAGAAAGGAATTTTATAAACATTTAGAAGTGAACCCAATTCACATTCCGGCCAGCGGCTGCCTGGCCCGTTGTTAAAATCAATATTTATTCACAGCCAAATAGCAGACTGGGGCCAGAGCCGAGGCCGGAGCCGGGCTCCAGAGTGTTCCTCGTTCGTTTGCGTGTTTCCATAACCGAAGTTCGGACGCTTCTCACCTGGTTATGTGTGAGGCACTCTGACACTTGTTCTGCGTCACCGACCCATGACTTACAGGAAGCCTACAGACTGCGGTTTGGACCACACCCCCCCCTTGGCCCGTCATGCACATCGGGCCTGAGCTGAGCCCCGGGGGTCACCAGCCCCTGCCCTCACAGGGCTTACAGTCCAAGGGGCAGCTGTGGTAACAGAAGGCATTCTGGGTCTGGCACCCTTTAAGGTAGCAGGCCCAGCTGTCAGCCCGCCCCCGGCATCCCTGTGTGCAGGAAGCGAGCGGGACGGGATCCACAGACTCCCTCTGATGCTCACTCCCCTGAACCGGCCACCGGCACCTGGCCTGGGGCCCATGCACAGAGCCCTGGAGGAGCTGAGCCCAGAGAGGGAAACCCAGAGTCCCTGCCTCCACTCTCTGCCCTCTCCTTTGCTTGCATTGGTGAGAGAGCAGCCGCCTCTGGAAGGCCCTGGCACTGGGACAGCCTGTGGGGTGGGGGGGCGGGGGGTGCCCCCAAACCCTGGCCCTGACTCCTGGGGTTTTGGTGAGGGAGGGGCAGGGAGGAACTGGAAGCAGGGGAGGCTGACCTGTGTATCTAGTGGGTTCCCGTTCTGGGCTGCCTGGGGCAGCCCTGACATTGGGCCCTGGTCTGAGGGTGCCCCACTGGGGAGAAAATGCACCTCTGTCCTCCAGGATCCTCGTGACTATGGGACAAAGTCCTGTCTTGGGGAAACCCTGTTCTGAGATGAAGTGGCCTCTGCCCCACGGTATCTTTCTGAGCTCGGGGGGGCCTCGGGGCAGTGGCCTGGCCTAGGGAAGCCTGTGGCTTGAGAGAAAGCTGTGACGGAGGAGGCTGGGGACATGTGGGAGGCCAGCGAGGACGCCTGGCCCAGCTGGGGCAGGAAGGGGCAGGAGGTGGGGCAGCGGAGGGCACCTTGCCAGCAGAGGTGACCATTAAAAGCAGGGCGGGCAGTCGGTAGAGGACAGAGGGGCACTCCGGTCGGGGAGAATGGATGTGGGTATGTTTCAGAGACGGTGATGCTTGGCGTACCTGGAGCGTGGGGTGTGAGTGGGGGAGCTGGATGGGGGACAGGAGTCCAGAGGTGGGCAGTAGGGAGCCACGGAGGGTGTGTGAGCGAGGCAGAGCCACTGCCAGAGCTACGTGCAGGGGGAGAGTTGGTGGTTGAGGTGCCAGGCAGACTGGCCCTGGTACCGGCATTGCAGGTTCGGGGGACGGTTCGTGGAGCGCACTCCCCAGTCTCCTGCCGTCTGTGCCCGTGCCCCTGTGGAGCTGTGTGCAGGCGACTGTGTCTCCAGGCCTGTCGGGGCTCTGATGCCTTCATGCGTACGAGACCCTTGTGTGAAGAGGTGGCCAGCTCTTGATTCGTCCCACCTGGGAAGCAGAGGCGGCCCCCGGGGGCCTGGGCAGTGGGCAGCTGCCGAATGTGCCCCGCATGCCCATCTCCTCCTCCTCCCTCCCTCCAGGTGACCATGGCCTTGTTGGGGAAGCGCTGCGACATTCCCACCAACGGCTGCGGGCCCGACCGCTGGAGCTCCGCCTTCACCCGCAAAGACGAGATCATCACCAGCCTCGTGTCTGCCTTAGATTCCATGGTGAGTGCCCCCGTCTGCCCTGGAGGAGCCGAAGCCGACCGCAGAGCCGTGGTCTCACTCCCCAGCCTGAGTCTCAGTGGCCCCGTCTGCAACAGGGGCCCTCTGCCCATGTCAGCGGGCGGGAGGCTTAAGTGATCGGGACGGAAAAATCCAGCCCTGCGAGTAACCGCTGTCCCCTCGTCCCCTCTTCTTCATTACCTCGTGCCATTCGAGTCCCATCCCTGGGAGGGTCCCAGGCTTCCCTTCCTCCCCTGGGGTCCCCTGGAGGATAGCGTGTGGGCAGTGATTCGTGCGAGAGCTGTAATCCCCGATGTTAAAAGCAAGATCTGGGACTGCATCTCAGGACCAGGAGAGAGAAACGCGGCCTCAGAAATTGTACCTAACCCTATGGTAGCTTATTCCAAGTAAGGAAATAGTAATGTCATTTTCCTGTAGCCTTTTCCTGGGGGAAAGTTCTGTGACAGAGGGTAGGTGGGTGTTAAAATCTGTCTGGCATCAGTTAGCTGCACCCTTGCATTTTAGGATGGTGAAATTCAAGTCCAGAGAAGGCAGTACCTTGCCTGGAGTCACACAGCTTGGCCAGCTTTTGTTTTATTTTTTAAAAATGATGGGGCGCCTGGGTGGCTCAGTCGGTTAAGCGACCGACTTCGGCTCAGGTCATGATCTCGCGGCCCGCGAGTTCGAGCCCCGCGTCGGGCTCTGTGCTGACCGCTCAGAGCCTGGAGCCTGTTTCAGATTCTGTGTCTCCCTCTCTCTCTGCCCCTCCCCTGTTCATGCTCTGTCTCTCTCTGTCTCAAAAATAAATAAACGTTAAAAAAATAAATAAATAAAAATAAAAATGTTTATTTAGTGATTTTGGAGGCAGGGATGGAACATGCACACGCTGGGGAGCAGCAGGGGGAGAGAGAGTCCTAAGCAGGCTCCCCACTGGCAGCTCAGAGCCCAACGTGGGGCTCGATCCCACGAACTGTGAGATCCTGAGCTGAAATCAAGAAGAGCTGGACGCTTAACCGACTGAGCCACCCGGTTACCCCTTCATCTTTATAGTTTTAACATGTTTGTGTCTCTAAAATTTTTTTTAATGTTTATTTATCTATTTTGAGAGAGCAAGATAGTGATCAGGGGAGGGGGAGACAGAGAGGGAGAGAGAATCCCAAGCAGGCTCCCCACTGTCCACGCAGGGCCTGATGCGGGGCTCGATCCCACACACTGAGATCATGAGCTGAAATCAAGAGTTGGGACACTTAACCGACTGAGGCAGCCCAGCATGATCAGTTTTTAAAGTGGCCTTTCGGGTTCAGAGTCTGCGGTTTCCAAGAACAAGGGCCTCCTTCCAGGCTGTTCCTGCTTAGGGACCTCGAGCACTGTTGAGGTGGTGCGTGTGGGCCAGAGGCGGTAGGCACCGCTGGGGAGGTTGGCTGGGTACGACCCCGTCCCTGTGCAGAGCATCCTTCGTGAGGAGGGGAGCCCCAGGAGCTCAGCCGTGCCTGCTGCAGGGGTGGCAATGGGCAGTTTCGACCCCCACGACAGCCACTGAGCCGGCTGCGGTAATTGATATTTAAATTGTAGTTAGTCAAGGGGAGCCTGGGGGGCTCAGTTGGTCAAGCGTCCGACTCTTGGTTTCGGCTCAGGTCACGGTCTCACGGTTTCGTGGGTTCGAGCCCTGCGTCGGGTCTGTGCCAACAGTATGGAGCCTGCTTGGGATTCTCTCTCTCTCTCTCTCTCTCTCTCTCTCCCCCTCTCTGCCCCTCCCCTGCTCGCGCTGTCTCTGTGGCTCCCAAATAAATAAGTTGTAGTTAGTTACAATGAAATACGGTAGTTCAGTTGTTCAGTTGCGCTGGCCTCATTTCCGGGGCTTCGTGGCCACAGGTGGCCATGGCATCGGAAGTGCAGGCAGAACATTCCCATCGAGACGGAGAGTTCTGTTGGGCGGCACTGCCCTAGAGGGTGTTACGGAGGCTCCTCAGGGGAGCAGTGGCCCTGTAGCTGTCCTGGGGGCGTGGACAAGACCCGCCTCCCCCGGCCTTGGGTCCCTTTATGGCCTTCCTGAGGGACCCTGAGGATAACAATGACACTTGCTCTGCCGTGACCTGGCTGTGGCATTGTCTGGGGCCCAAGGCCCTGGGGCCAGGGTCCTCGGGTGGTCTGCATGGGGCCAGACCTCTTTTAGGGCGTTTCCTCACAGTCCAGGTCTCTGTGTCTCTGGGGACATCAGTTCCCGGGGAGTGAATATCTCCTCCAACAGCAGGTTGCTTTAATCTTCAGAGGAAATCAGCACACACCCTTCACCATGGGAGAGCCTAGGGGACAGGCTTGCTGGCTCTACAATGTCCCGGGGGGCCCCCCCCCCCCCCCAGCGTCCTCAGCGAGCGACTCTGAAGCTGAAGCTGCCGCAAGAGGCATGATCATGGCCCAGAGAGGTTGAGGAACCTGTCCTAGATCACACAGCAGCAGGACTGTGATGAGAAGGCAAGCTTCCTGACTGCCAGCAGAGCTCTAACTCAGATAAAAACCAACATTTATGAGGCGCCGAATGCAAGCTGAGAGCTTCGCAGGCAGAGTTTTTCTGCTGACCTAGGTCAGAGGGCTGAAATGCTCGTGGTCTCGGCTGCAGGGCCCCTGTGTGAGGGCTTCCTGTGCTGTGGGCCGGCCAACCTCAACTCTGGGACTGCAAAAGTAACCTCTCCGATTGTGTACCTACACGAGGTGCCCCGGTTTAGAGATGTGTTTTCATGCCAACCAGGCCCCACGACCAAGTCCATTGAAAGCCTGGGCACTGGGCTGTTTGGCCCCATTAGTCCCAGAGCAGGAAGGCGCCGATGGGGGATTGAAGCCTGGATCTGTCTGAGCCTTGGTTCTCCTGGGGCCCCCCACCTCCTCCTCAGTTAGGACTTTGAGAAAACCTAAGACAGGAATGTCCCTGGGGCTGGGGCCAAGCCTCAGGCCGGAAGCCTCCTGCCCCCAGAGCAAGGCAGACCTGGGAGGAGGGACGGGCAGAGGCCATGTGTCTTCGTTCTCCTATCTTCTCCCCTGACCTTGACCAAGCTTCGGTGGGGGCAGTGGCATCATTCACTCATTCCTGCTGCAGAACTGACCGAGAACATTGGAGGGGTGACCTCCCCCTCGAGCTGCTGGTGGGCTCTCAGGCAGCTGGGAACTCCCATCGCACCCCCAGAGCCGTCACTGGAGGTGTCCCCAAGCAGGGGGAGCCTTCCCCGGACTCACGTACCCTGCTCCCCCCTGCAGTGCTCGGCGCTCTCCAAGCTGAATGCGGAGGTGGCCTGTGTTGCTGTGCACGATGAGAGCGCCTTCGTGGTGGGCACCGAGAAGGGGAGGATGTTCCTGAGCACACGGAAGGAGCTGCAATCAGACTTCCTCAGGTTCTGCCGTGAGTACCCCGGGGCTCCAGGGGCGGGGCCTGCGGTCCCTGAGGGCAGGGGCTCTGGCGCATCTCTGGGTCCCCAGAGCATTACCAGGTGGCCCTGTGTCGGGGTGGGGGGTGGGGTTATGTAGGCTTCCCAGTGTGGCATCGTTATGGGGGGGCAGAGTTTTTATTGGAATCAGACACACAAACCCCAGGGGGGGCCAGGCCCGACCCCTCCATCTGCTCATTGACAGAAGGGGACACTGAGGCCCAGTGTTGCCCGGTTCCTGTGAGTCTCTGACATGGGGACCGAGTGCATCTGTTCACCTAATACTTGCTGAGTCCCTGCTGTGTGCAGCACCCTTTACAATGCTAACTCCGTTACCCGGGCGGGTAGGCACTCTCATTGTTACAGTAACAATCTTGGAGCTGCCTCCTAGTGGCTCTTGGGGACCAAGTGACTGAGGACCCATGCAGCACGAAGGAAATGCTTGATAAACTCGATCCATAGGGCTTTGGGCCAAGCCGTGTGCTCAGGAAATACTTACCTCTGGTTTACAAATGAGAAACTGAGGTCCAGTGAACGTAAGCCACGTCCCCCAGGGACACCCAGCTGACAAGCGGTAGAGGCCAGGTTTCTGTTTTGAACACCATGCTCTTTCTGCTACGCCCCTTCAAAATAGGGGAGGGACATCAGGACACCCCGCCCCCCCCTGCTGGGAGCTCTGAAGCAAGGGTCTTTCTGAAGCCTCCAACTCCTCAATGCTACCTGGGCCTTTACACCCTCATAACTCAGCCCCTGGCTCTGCGTTCTCCCCTCCCAGCATCCCGCGTCCTCACCGCAGGCGGTGCTGTGCTGAGTGCTGGCTCACCTCCAGGTGCATTCTCACCTCTGCCCACTGGAAGGCCCTCCCTCCTCTCCCCTGCCCGCAGATGCCTCCCCGGCCTCCAGATTCACATTCCTCCCGCCCAGGCCCCCTCTGTGCCGCTGCCACTCCTTGCCCCCCACCCCAGCCCTTGCTCCCCACACTGTGCCAGCTTCCCATGCCCTAAGCTTCCACGCGTGCTCCTGGTAAGCTCCTGAGCGAGGTCAGCGTCACCTTTGTGGTGGGTTAGGTCCTACAGGGTTGGGGCCTGGCCCCAGCGCTGAAGGCCAGCATCCCCCCGGCCATTCGAGCCCACGATTTGGAACTCAGAGCTCTTGGGGTTAAGAGCAGGCCCTGAAGTCAGACGTCTGGGGCCCTATCCTGGCTCCACCACCTGCTGCCCAGTGGGCCTTAACCTCCTTGTCTGTGAAAGGGGAGGACAGTGCTGCACTCCTCGAGGGTCGATCCGAGGATGAAACAAACCTCCTAGAGGTTAGAACAGTGCCAGGCACGTGGTTTACACACAATATATGCCGGCTGTTTTTGACCTTGCCATTATTATTAGCATCTGCCTTATACCCGGGGTCTGGACCCTAGATCAGCCATTTCAGGGAAGGCTGTCCCCCGGCACTGGACTTCCAGTGCTCCCAGCTTCCAGATGCTTCCCCAGCCGCCCCCACCCCTACTCCCACTCAGCTCTCAGAGGCTGTGCCCTCTCCCCAGGTTGGGTGGGGGCTGGACCAGGGTAGAGTAGACAGTGCCAGGGTCCTGTGGCCCCCGATCGGCCAGGCTGGGGCGTGTGCACCTGGCTTCCCGGAGCCAGGCAGAGCTGCTATTTATAGCCGGGAGCTCGGCTGGTTTATTTCAAGCTCCCCGGATCCCGGGAGGGGAGCCGGCTCCAAGCTGCGAGGGGCCCTCCAGACCCTCCACCCATCCCCTTTCCAACACATTTTCTAGCATTTCCCTACCCAGAGGTTCACTGATACTCCCAGGGCCCCACCCTGGCCCAGCCTGGCATGAACCTGCCTCTTTGCAGCCCCTTGGCCTCCTGGCGGTGCCCCCATCGTCTCCTCGTCTGGCAGAGCAGAAAACTGGGGCCTCGATCGTCTAAGACAGCATTAGTGTCAAAGCCCAGAGCGGGTTGGATGGAACAGACCTTGGCTGAACCCCAGTTCTGAGCCAGGCCAGCCGGTTTTTATGCGAGAGCTCACAGACTGAGGCCCCGAGAGGGAAGGGACTTGCCCAAGGTCACACAGTGAGTTAGAGGTGACCAGGAGGAAACCCAAGCCCTATGCTAGGCACTAGGAACTCAGAGAAGACCAGCCCTGCCCTGTGCAGGTGTTTGGGGCAGGGCCCGCTTGTTCGTTCGTTCGTTCGTTCGTTCGTTCATTCATTCTTGTTCCGTGTTGAGTGTCTCGCTGCAGGGTTCAGCGCGGGGCAGGGACATGCCAGCTCGCTGGGCAGGTGGTGACATGGGTGCTCGCCATGGCCCGACCTGCTCTGTGTCCCGCAGGAGGGGCCCCATGGAAGGAGCCGGAGGCAGAGCATCCCAAGAAGGTGCCGCGGGGCGAGGGTGGCGGCCGGAACGTCCCTCGGTCTTCCCTGGAGCACGGCTCGGACGTGTACCTTCTGCGGAAGATGGTAGAGGAGGTGTTTGATGTTCTTTATAGTAAGATCCTTCCTCATTCCATTTGGGGCCCCCGGGCGGGTGGGAGCCCCGGTCCCTGCCCTGCTGAGGAGGCCCCTCCCGGCCCCACCGCGGGCCCAGGGCAAGACCTCAAGGTGTGGCCCCCCCCCTCCCCCCAGCCCTCCCTCGTCTTGTATCCCCAGGCACGGCTCCTCCACCCCGGCCTTGCTTCCTGAACCACCGTCCCCACTGCCCCGGCCCGCCTGGCGCTGGTCACTGCCACCTGTCGCCTGGAAATGGCCCCCGGCTCGCCCTAGTCTCTTTTCGCCTGCAGGCCGGCTCCTTGCTGCCCCCACCTGTCCTTGACCAAGGGCCTCTTCCTAAAACACAAGTCTGACCGGGAAGCTCTTCCTTCCACTGCCCTGGGGGCTCCCCACTGCCCTCAATGTGGCCTAAGCACCCACGTGGCCGGTCCCGCCCACCCCCAGCCATGCTGCCCTGCCCGACGGAACCGTTTCCTGTTCGCCAGCACACTCCAGCTTCATTTCACACCTCCTCGCCTTTGCACCGCTGTGCCCTTTCAGACTGCCTTCCCCTCTGTCTGCTGGACGCCACATTATTCTCTAAGGCTCGGCTCTGGGAAACCCCCTGCCCCACTGGCTTAATGCCCCCTCTGGGTACCCACTGTGTCCTGTGTCCTCACCAGCGCAGTGCTCTCTGGGGTCAGGGTCCGTGCTTGCCCTTTCTGCTGTTCCCCAGCCTGTAGTTCAGGGCCCAACGGCGGCAGATGTTGACAGGGTGTTTGTTGAACGACTGAGCGACAGCTAACTTGACTAGTCAGCCGAGTCCTTCCTGTGGGGGAGGTGGGCGGGCCTGGCCTCCCTCAGAAGCGTCAGGTTGCAGGATCTCTGGCCCAGTGGTAGCCCTCACACTCTCTAGGTGACCTTGGGCAGGTCCCTAAGGGTCCCACCTCTGGCTTTGTTCCCTTCTCTACTGCAGCCTTTGGTTGTGTGGAGCAAAGGTCTGTGAGGAAACTCCTGCTGTCGTCTAGATGTCAGGAGGAAGAGGAGGCCTGGGTGGGAGGGGAGGCCAGGAGGGCCTGGGTGGGCACGCTGGCCACCCTGGGAGGGGAGGACATGTCACACGTGGTTGGCCAGGCAACCGCCCTTTTGGCAGCTACGGGGTTGGTGCCCACAGCCCCCCACACGCCTCGCCCCACTCTGTCCCACCACCGGTGGAACCTGCGGTGGCCCTGAGGTGAGAGGCCTCTTACTGGCTCCAGGTGGGGCTGCAGGGTGGGAGTGACAACAGTCATTCCTCACCCAGGGCCCCTGGGCCACCCCGAGTCCCCAGCCAGTCTCCCCTCCACTCACCCCTTCTTCAACCCCACCACCTTCTGTCCGTGTGCTTCCTCTCTTCCTGAATCTGTTCTTCCTGTTTCCACTCCCCTCCCTCACCTCCTCCCTTCCTCCCTGCCGTCTCTCTCCCGCCCTCCTTTCTCTCTCCCCCGTGTCTCCTCCTCACCTCCCACCCTCAACCCTGCACCCCGCCCTCCCCTCCGCCCGGGTGCCCTGAGAGAAGAGAATGGCGAGAGAAGCTGGGAGCCCTGTCCGTGGGGGAGCCCTGGCCCTCGGGTGCACACAAAGGGGACTTGTCCCCAGCACTCGCCCACCCCTCCCCCCCACTTAGCCTGTCCTGTGTGAAGCTCACAGTGAAGGGGCCCGTGGGGTCCAGTTTCCTGGGAAGCCGGCACCACAGGGAGTGACTCCACGTGGCCCCAGCCCAGCCTGGCTGCCCTCTCACACTAGACCCTCTCCTCGACCCCCTCCCCCACAGGCGAGGCCCTGGGAAGGGCCAGCGTGGTGCCCCTGCCGTACGAGAGGCTGCTCAGGGAGCCGGGGCTGCTGGCCGTGCAGGGGCTGCCCGAGGGCCTGGCCTTCCGGAGGCCAGCCGACTACGACCCCAAGGCCCTCATGGCCATCCTGGAGCACAGCCACCGAATCCGCTTCAAGCTCAAGAGGTGAGTGGGCCCGGGGCCTGGTGGCTGGACTGTGAGGTCCGGACCAGGACGGGCCAGGAGGGCGACCTGCTTCCGTTCTGGCTCAGCCACCTGTGGCCACTTACCCAGTCACGGGGAGGGGACTTCAGACACCCGCGGGGGACTAAAAGCTCCCAGCCTGGCGGCGGAGGTGAGGCAAATGCCCGGTCGTAGAGCATGATCTGAGCCAGGCGTTACGTCACGGGGGCCCCCAGGGGACTTCGGTGTTGCAGAGAGGCTGGAACAGCCCTGGCCGGGAGCCACATCATGTGTACTCTCTGGGGTTATGTCAGGGGCTGGGGGGAAGCGAGGAGGTGGAGGCTGGCGAGCTGGGTCGAGCGCTGGGGCTGCCTGGAGACCGGCCTGAGGCCGTGGCGCTGCCCATGGGTGTTCAGCAACCACCCTCCGCGCACGGGCCCAGAAGAGGAGGGATGTGGTAGGAGCTGGGGGGCGACCGGGCATGTGATGGCTGGGTGGGAGGCACAGAGGCTAAGGGGCAGGGCCCAGCTCCTCCAGCGGCCCTGGGCACATTACAGCCCTGCCCTGGAGGGCCTGCACCCCCGCCTGTAAAATGGGGACTAGCTCCCGTCCTGTGTACCTCGCAGGCCGCCATGTTGTGCGGGGGCCGGGCTGGGGGACTAAAGGAAGAGATGGGACCTTCTGGTGGGTCAGGTGTATGAAGCCATCACGTGTCCTCCTCTCCTTCACCCAGGCCGCTTGAGGATGGCGGGCGGGACTCAAAGGCCTTAGTGGAGCTGAACGGCGTCTCCCTGATAGCCAAGGGGTCTCGGGACTGCGGCCTGCATGGCCAGGCCCCCAAGGGGCCACCCCAGGACCTACCCCCCACCGCCACCACCTCCTCTGTGGCCAGCTTCCTGTACAGCAACGCACTCCCTAACCACACCACGAGAGAGCTCAAGCAGGAGGCGCCCGCCTGCCCGCTTGCCCCCAGCGACCTGGGCCTTGGCCGGCCCGGGCCTGAGCCCAAGGCGTCTGGTGCCCAGGACTTCCCCGACTGCTGTGGTAAGCTGCTGCCGGGACCCCTAAGTCTGGGAGTGGGACAGGGGTCACTCGTGTGTGGGCACCCTCCCAGGGCAGGTCCGGGTGCCCGGGCCCACCCCAGGCTGAAGGAGGCACGTTGGGACAAGGGGCTGGGACAGGACAGCTGGCGACGCTGGGCCTCCCCTCAGCTGTCTGTGAACAATATCCTTGGCCTGGGGCCAAGCGATGTCCAGAGGAGTCTGTGGAGTCAGTAAACATGCTAATCGGTCACATGCTGCATCCCCAGCCTGGGTTGGGGGTACTGGAGATAGAGAAGGGACACCTGGATGTGAGAGAGACCTGTGTTCACATCCTCGGGCTCCTTGGCTCAGTGGCTGTGTGTCCCAGAGCAAATCTCTACCTCTCTGAGCCTCAGTTTCCTCATCTGTCAAGTGCAGATGCCAGTAGAACCTCTCACAAGGTTATCGTCCGGGTCAAGTTCCCGGGCCAGTCAGAAATGCACATTCTCAGGCCCTGCCACAGTCCTGCTGAATCTGAAGCTTTGGGGACGGGGCCCGGTTGCCTGTGTATTCGAATGTGCCAGGTGATTCAGATGGTGCTCAAGCTTGAGAACTGCTGTATTAAAGCACTGAGTCCGGGGCGCCCGGTGGCACAGTCAGTTGAGCATCTGACTGTTGATTTTGGCTCAGGTCGTGATCCCAGTGTCGTGGGATCGAGTTCCACATCGGGCTCCATGCTGAGTGTGGAGCCCGCTTAGGATTCTCTCTCTCTCTCTCTCTCTCTCTCTCTCTCTCTCTCTCTCTCTGTCTCTTCCTCTGCCCCTCTCCCCACCTGCGCTCTCTGTCTCTCTAAAATTAAACACACACACACAAAACCCCTGAGTCCAATGCTTAGTACATAGTAGGTGCTTAGAGGGGGCTGTTATCAGGAGGAGAAAAAAGGGCTTCCCTCCCCTCCCCACCGCCAAATGTGTGGGCTGAGCGGCGGGTGGGACTTACACACCTGAAATAGGTGTCCCCGCCTGTAAAAGGTGTCCTGGGACATCACAGCTTCTCCCTGATCTCCCGTTTGGATAGCAGACTCTGCCCCTGGTCAGGGAACTTGCCTAGAGTTCGCGATCACAGGGCTCAGTTCTGGGGTCTCCCTGATGGATGAGGCTGTTACCCCAGGCCAGATCTGGGGGAAGCCCTCTTGGGGCCCACCTTGAACCTGTGCCTCTCCTCTGCCTTGTCCAGGACAGAAGCCCCCCGGGCCTGGTGGTCCTCTCATCCAGAATGTCCACGCCTCGAAGCGCATCCTCTTCTCCATCGTCCATGACAAGTCAGGTAGGACGGTGCCCATAGCAGTGCCCTGAGGAGACTGGGGACCCGGAGCTGGGGGTGGTGCTTCCCGAAATGGAAATGTGTCCACTGGGTCTTACAGGAGAGCTGTGCACGAGGGACCTTGAGTCAAACCAGAGTATGACAGTTCTGCATTGCTATGTGACAAACTACCCCGGAACATAGCTTAAAACAGCAAGTGTTTCCACCTCACGGTTTGCGTGGGTCCAGAATTCAGGAGCAGCTTAACTGGGTGGTCCTGGCCCCGGATCTCTCATGAGGTTGTGATCGGGTTGCCAGCGGGGGCTGCGCTCATCTGAAGGTTTGACCGGGGCCGAGGATCCACTTCCAGGCTCACTCATGTGGCTGGTGGCGGAAGTCTCCTTCCTACTGCATGGGCCCCCACGGGGCTGCTTGAGTGTCCTCATGATGTGGCGGCTGGTTTCCTGACGTTAGCAATCCCAAGCAGAGTAGGGAGGAAGCCACATGTCTTTCATGACCTACGTCACAGGTCACCATCAGTTCTGCCGTGTTCTACCCGTTGTTTTTTTTTTTAAGTTTGTTTGTTTATTTTGAGAGAGAGAGAGAGAGAGAGAGAGAGAGAGAGTGTGTGTGTGTGTGTGTGTGTGTGTGTGTGTGTGTGAGCAGGGGAGGGGCAGAGAGCGGGAGAGAGGGGGAATCCCAAGCAGGCTCTGCACTGTCAGCATGGAGCCAGACGCCGGGCTCGAACCCACAAACTGCGAGATCATCACCTGAGCTGAAGTCAGATACTCGACCGACTGAGCCACCCAGGTGCCCCCGTGTCCTATCCTTTAGAAGCCAGAAATGAGCCACCCACACTCACAGGGAGTGAGGGGAATTAAACTGCACCTCTTAAAGATGAGAGTCAAAAAAATTATGTGGGCAGATATTAAAAGTACCACACAGTATTTGGGATTCATTTATACCCAAAGGGCTGAAGCAAGACTGTCCAGCAATTATGCCTTGTGGAGATCTCAGCCTCGGCTTCAGTGAGAGGCTCCTTAAGAAGACCTAGTCCCCTGGGGCGCCTGGGATGGCTCCGTCGGTTAAGCGTCCGACTTCAGCCCAGGTCATGATCTCACAGTTCGTGAGTTTGAGCCCTGCGTCGGGCTCTGTGCTGACAGCTCAGAGCCTGCTTCGGGTTCTGTGTCTCCCCCTCTCTCTGCCCCTCCCCTGCTTGTGCTCTGTTTCTCTTTCTCCAAAAATAAATAAACATTAAAAAAAAATTAGGGGCGCCTGAGTGGCTCAGCCAGTTAAGTGCCTGACTTCGGCTCAGGTCTTGTGGTTCATGGGTTCGAGCCCAGCGTCGGGCTCTGTGCTGACAGCTCAGAGCCTGGAGCCTGCTTCGTGTTCTGTGTCTCCCTCTTTCTCTGCCCCTCCCCCACTTGCGCTCCGTCTCTCAAAAATAAACTTAAAAAAATTTTTTTTAATTAAAAAAAATGAAAATGAAAAAAAATTTAAAAACGAAAATAAAAAAAGACCTAGTCCCCTGAAGGGCGCTTGGGTAGCTCAGTCAGTTAAGCATCTAACTCTTGATTTTGGCTCAGGTCATGGTCTCGCGGCTTATGAACTCGAGCCCCACGTCAGGCTCTGTGCTGCCAGCGAGGCTGGGTAAGACCCCAGAGGTACAAGGTGTGAGGGTTAGTGGTCTGAGGTCAGGACTCGGCATCTCAGGGAGAGCACCCTCTCAGCCCCCTGCCCGTCTAGGGCAGGAGACACCCATGATGGACAGGCTGAGCCTACGTCATTAGCCACTGCCCGTGGGGGCAGACAGAGGCAAGAGGAGAGAGCAGATGTGGAGACCAGCAGGGCGTTGTGTAGGGCTGTCTCCTGGAGGAGGCTGGGGCCTCAGGGCCCCCAGCGGGAGTGGGTGGAAGGGGTGAGGCCCCTTCGGGGGGCTCTGCCGGAGAAAGCCCGGTGGCCTCGGCTGTGGAAGGAGTGTGGCTGTCCTGGTGCCCCGGCCCAGCGAGGAGGGTCTAGCAGGGAGCTGGACGCTCGTCACGAAGCAGCCAGGCCCTGGGCTCCCCGCTCCGACCCGCCCTCACTCGTACCTCCTGTGTTTTGATAGAGAAGTGGGACGCCTTCATAAAGGAAACCGAGGACATCAACACGCTCCGGGAGTGCGTGCAGATCCTGTTTAACAGCAGATATGGTGAGTGGGCGGCCCGGCCCGCTGTGTGGCCCCGGCAATGTGCTGAGCATCTCATTACGTGGCAGTCACTTGTGTTCCCTAACATGACAGCGGGAGCCATATGCTGGCACACCAGCAGTGCTAATGTCATCTCCTGTCTGGCTGGGGGGCGGTTGTGTCAATATTTCCCTTCCAGATTTCTCCGGGGGGGCGGAACTGATGGCAGAGCCCCAGCCTTGACTCACCTGTGGGAGGCAGGCGGGTCGGCATCCAGAAGACCCAGAAAAACGGCCGCTGGCCTCACGCACTTGCAGGGTCCGCCCCGCGCTGCGCTGTTTCCTGCCGCCGTGCCTTTGGGCCTCTGGGCCTCGCCCTCCGCCCGCCATGCCCCCCACGTGTTTGGGGAGCACACTCCCACTCGTTCTTCGAGACTCAGCCTAGGCCGGCCGGGCCCCCAGAGCCGTGATGGGGTTCTCTCTGTCACGCGCCCTGCACCTGATGCCCCTTGTCTGTATCTGTTCCCATGATGGCCAGGATCGCGCCAGCCCCTCCCTGTGTCCCCAGCACCCAGGACAGAGCCGGGCTCAGGGCGCATGTCTGCCCTCTGCACCTGGCTGGTCGCCAGGGCGGGCGTGCCTTCCACGCCATCCAGCTTCACGCCAATGGACAGTGAGGCCACTGGTTGGCTGGAAGGCAGGGGCTGGAGCAGGTGGTCTGTAAGCCCCTCCCACCCTGGGTGCTCTGAACACCCCCCCACCCTGTGCCACGCGCTCCGACACACCCACTCTCCCCGTCTCCCCGGCAGACTCCCCCGGCAGTCACTCTGTCTTTATTGAGCTCCACCTGTAAACCCCACTCAGCGGATGGCCACGTGTGGCCCTTGCCTGCGTGGGCGGCTCTCACTTAACTGTGGAGATGACGCAAGTTCCCGCAGGTCACCTCAGGTGTGACAGCCACCACCCGCTGAGTGGTGCCGCCCCACGGTGGGGAGTCCCTCCGTGGATGGGGCCAAGGGAGGAGATGGGGCAGGGGCCCCGGGAGCTCCCTGAACGTGCACGGTCCAGAACGAGCACTGTGCTGGGAGTCCACAGCCACTTGCCAGGGGACCTGGAGTTGGCCGTCACCCCCGGTAACCTTGGCCTTCTCAGCTTGAGCAGAAGGGACAGTGTGGGGCTTCACCCTCCTCTCTTCCTTCTGTCTCCTTGTATCTTTCTGTCCTCGCTCTCTCTTCCACCCTCCCCTCCTGCCTCAACAAAGGAAAACCCTTTCTCCGACACTTCTGACACCGGAAGGGTGGGTTTCCCAGCCCCAACAGTTCTCCAGGCCTCTGGACACCAGCTGGGCGTCCTACAGTTCAGTCCCGACGCAGACCCCACAGGTTAAGGGCCCAGTCCCAAAAGACAGCCCCGCGGTTAGGCCGTTTGAGGCCTACGGTCATTTTTCCACGTCTTCCGGATGGTTCCCCGGACGGGCACCCTCACTTCTGTCCGCCTCTGCTACACATCCACGGTTCGCATGACCCCTCAGGCTCAGCCAGCCAGCCTGCCACAGTGGCTCACAGAACCTGGAAACACCTTGCTTACCTTTACCTGTTTATTGTGAAGGGGACGGACGAACAGCTAGAGGACGAGGTACACGGGGTGAGGCCTGGCGAGTTCTCAAGCGCTGGAGCTTTTGCCCTGGTGGAGTTTGGGGTGCACCCTCCCGGCACGTGGGTCCGCCAGCTCGGAAGCTTGGGGGAGCCCTTGGTTTAGAGTGTTTACAGGGGTCCCAGTAAGTCGGAGGGATTGGTTAAAACATTGTCCCGTGGTGATTCGCTCAGTCTCCAGCCCCTCTCTGTCCGGGGTGGGGGGGGTGGGGGGGGGTGGGGCTGAAAGGGGCAACCCTCTGATCACGTGCCCCCCCAACCCTGAAACCAGTCCCCATCCTGAGGGATCTGGGGGCACCCCCCTCATTATCATAAACTCAGGTGGGTTAAAAGGGGCTTAATATAAATAACAAGGCTCTTCTCAGGCCTCTCTCTCAGGAAATCCCCAAGAACCCGAGTGCAAGGCCACACATGGACTTCTTATTAGATCACGAGTTGCTCCCTCCCCCTTTTTTTTTTCTCACGCTTTCACTGGTTCGCCCACTTATCAGTCATGCATCCTGAGCCTTCCCACCTTGTGTCGTGCACGCAGGCCAACGCTGGTCTCAAGGCACTTCAGCAGGTGCCTGAAGATGTGTCTTGGGTTGTAGTGTAGTGCCTGGCGGGGGGGTGGAGGGTGGTGGGAGGAGCCCTTGGAAAGACAGGACCACACAGAAAAAGGTGAGGTCTTCACAGGCTTGAGCAGTCAGGGGTGGCTTCATGGAGGAGGTGCCCTTTGATCCACGCTGGGGCTAGGGAAGCCTAGGCCTGCAGGCTTGGCAGGCTGTGCCTTCTGGACTGGGGCGGGGCTGAGCCAGGCTCTGGAGGCCTCATAAGGAATCCGGCACAGCCTGGGCGTCTTTGATGTGGTCTTTCTGGTAGACCCGCTCCTCCCCTCTTGCCTGGACCGTCCCAGGCAGGTGTGAGCTGGATGGGCAGTAGGGGGAGGGGATCTGGGGAGGACTGGCTCTGTCTGCCTTGGGAGCCTTCTGCCCCAGCCGGGCTGGCACGGCGGCCTCCAGTCTTCCCGCCTGTAGTGCCCTCTGGATGTTTCCAGAACACCGAACCTTTTGCGGATGCCAGCACCTGGCCTGGCCACATCCAAATCCAAGGAGAAGCACTGGGCTTGGAGTGGTTGAGGCCGTGTCCCTTCTCCGGCTTCCCCAACTCTGAGCTTTCCCTGCAGCTGTGCCGGGGAGAAGGCAGTCCCCAGGGGCACGCTGTGGCTGGCCTGAGGTATCCCACAGACCCTGGATAAGTGGATCCTGCCCCTGGCTCTGCCCTTTCAGCCACCAGCTCTGGGTGAAGTGGGCCAGCAATGGGGCTGGGGTGCAGAGTGGGGCGGGGGGATAGAACAGAGAAGAAATGGGGGGGAACCCCAGCCTCCAGGAAGCCTCAAGAACATTGTCACCCGGAAGGAGATTGAGACTACGAGGCACTCAGGATCCTGCATGGCGGCTCCGTTCTCCCGTCTCAGTGGGCAGAGGCTGGAGGCCAGGTGCGATTGACCGCTGTCCACTGGGTCCCCTTGCCTCCGAAGAGACAAGCCCAGCAAATGAGAGGAACCCGAGTGGAGATGAATTCACACAGACTCGCAGAAGCCACCGCTGATGGGCTGGGGCTGGGGGTTGGGGGAAAGACATGGTTTGACAGCTGTTGAGATTTCGAGGGTTTAATTTGACAACGAGCTAAGTGTGGCTTCACAGTGGGATCTGGCTGCCAGAGCCGCCAACGCAGACCCGGCTGTGTCAACAGAAAAACAGTCTTGACGGTGTGCCAGGGAGGGCCCCAGGCAGCTCGGCCCTGTCCCGCTCCGGGTGTGGCTGGAGGGGAGTCCAGCTCGGAGCTGGCACCTGCTGGGACACGGAAAAACGCGGTGCGGCCGGAACGGGGAAGGGCCTGAGGAAGGGCACGGAGACGCAGGACCACTGGGGAAGTTTGGAGGGATGGGGCGGCACCCAGCCCGGCACCCCTCCCTCCTTGGGCCCCTTCCACCCCCCGCGGGGGGGGGGGGGGGGCGGGGGGGGACAGGGACCCATGAAAGTCCCATCAAGCACATAGTAGGTGCTCAAAAAGTACCTGGTGCCTGAATGAGTAAGAACACGGGACGTAAATGAATGATTGAGATGGCCTGAGACTGAACCCAAGGGTCCACAAGGAAGGAACAAGGAACCCACTTTGTAAACCCGGATTCTGCCTGCACTGCTGTTGGCAAAGTTTCTACAGTCTCATTTCTGGCCCTGATGAGTAAGCATCATGTGCACCCCCCACACCTCCCTGGAGGAAAGAGCATGTCTGGAAGGCTGCAGGAATCCTGCCGAGAGCGCCCTTAAGCCTGGCTGCCGTTCACTCGCTCACCGAGTACAGGGAGCAGCTAGTCTGTGTCCCATCCTGTCTAGATAGATCCCAGATGGGGAGCGGTTGGCCGCCTGTGTCCCCGTGGAACTGAGGTTCTGGACAGTGAACCAGCATACAGACGAATATGTGTATAGTGTCAGGTCATGGTGAATGTGGGACGGAAAACAAAGCAGGGCGAGATGGAGGGGACTGGCGAGGTGACATCTGGGGGGACGCTTGAATGGGGAGAGGGAGGAAGGGCAGTGTCTGGTGATCTGGGAGGACAGAGTCTGAGTAGATGGTAGAGCATGTGCAAAGGCCCTGGGGCAGGTGCGTGTCTGATGTGTTAGGGAGGCAACAAGGAGGCTGCAGAGACTGGGATGAGCAGAGGGGGCACAGGAGGGAGGTGAGTCAGAGGTGATGGGGTCCTGGTCACGTGGGGCCTCGTAAGCCCAAGTAGGACTTCGGCTGTCACCGAGGGGGATGGGAGCCCGTGGGCATTTTTCAAGAGGGAAGTGACATGCTGCTCCATGGCCGGACGGGTGCAGGGGATGGGGTGGGGGGAGGTGATGGTGACCACGGCCCTGGGGCCCCGCATGTCCTGCAGCTTCTGTCCCGCGCTCAGCCTTGCCGTTGCCCTTCCAGCGGAAGCCCTGGGCCTGGACCACATGGTCCCCGTCCCCTACAGGAAGATTGCCTGCGACCCAGAGGCCGTGGAAATTGTGGGCATCCCCGACAAGATCCCCTTCAAGCGCCCCTGCACGTATGGGGTCCCCAAGCTGAAGCGGATCCTGGAGGAGCGACATAGCATCCACTTCATCATTAAGAGGTACGGGGCGGGGTGCGGGCCTGGGCTCGGGGTGCCGTGGTGTAAGGGCTGGGCAGGGCGCCACGGCAGGCGTGAGGCCGGGCCCGGGGAGGCGGTGATGACGCCTGGGTGGGATGAAGGGGCTCTGACAACCGAGAGGACGGGCGGGCCAGGGAGAGAAGTCGGCTCCTCCTTCCTGGCCTCTTCTGAGGATTGAACGGGGAAACTGAGGCCCGGCGCCTGTGGACACTCAGTAAGGTCTTAGTAAAAGAAGACTGAGGCCTTTCAGCTTACCTGCCCCTGGAGGGGGGCCCACCTGAGGTCACAGCCCACCTTGGGCTGCCCTACCTGCTGGTAGGCTGACTGCCTCTCCCGTCTCCCCAGGCAGCCTGGCGCAGGTGTGGGTAGGTGCGAGAAGGCAGGACAGGATGCACTTGAGAGCTGCAAACCCCCAGGGTGGCTGGCTTGGGGCGTGGGGGGAGCCTGCTGCTGCCCGTCCCGCAGTGTCGTTGCCCGAGACTGTAGCAAGGAGTTTGCCCTCACGGCCGGTTGGACCCCCACCGTGCAAGCATCGGGGTCTCCAGGCAATGCGTGGACTCCCTGGGATGTTTCCTCCTAAGTGGTGAGAGACGGAGGGTGGCCCGAAGCCATGCCGTCCAGCCCCCTGCCTCCAGGCAACAGGGCACCTGCTCTGGGAGCTCTCTGAGGGCACGCCTCCAGGGTGTGCGTGTACTCACGGGCGTGCTTCCTGGACTAGAGGCAGGCACTGAGGACGAGGAGTGTGCGTGGTTCGTGGCTGAATTCCCAGTGCCTAGAACAGCCCCTGGTATGTAGTAGGTGCCCATTGTGTATGTGTGCAACGAGTGAACGAACGAACGAATACTCGTCCGGGGGTGCAGGAAGCTGGGCCTGGGCCTCCGGGGGTGCAAGTGGCCTCCAGGGGTGCATGGGCCTCCGGGGGTGCAACGAGTGAATGAACGAACGAATACTTGTCCAGGGGTGCAAGGAGGCTGGGCCTGGGCCTCCGGGGGTGCAAGTGGCCTCCGGGGGTGCATGGGCCTCTGGGGGTGCAATGCGTGAATGAACGAACAATTACTCGTCCGGGGGTGCAAGGAGGCTGGGCAAGCGGCTGGGGATCCACTCAGGGCACGGAGCTGTTCTAGAGCAGTGGGCAGGACCTCTGCAGGGTTGCTGGAGGCCAGAGCGGGGTCTGCTGGGCCCCTTTGCTTTGGGGGGGGGGGGGCGAACAGCAGGCTCTAGGGCGACCAGGGCCCTGGAGGTGGGCAGATCTGGGAGGGTGCTGTGGTATCATCCCGGTTGGCGGTGGGTGGAAGGAGAGAGGTTGGCTCCATTTGGGGTGGATTCCGAGCTCTGCTGGGTTCGCCGGTGGGTGGACGGTGGGAGTGTGGAGGGGAGCACGGAGGCTAGGATCACGCCGTGTTTCTGGGCGTACAACTGGGGGAAGCAGGTCTGGTGTGGGGTGGAGAGTTCACGTGGGGTATGCTAGCCTGGAGATGATCGGATACGGAATTTTGAGAAGTCAGAAGCTCCAGAGGGAGGTCTGTGTCGGAGATAAGATTTCTGAGAGTTGTCCTCATGGGCCAGGTAGGGCTCTCGCCAGGGTGGAGATAGAGAGGAGAAGGGAGTCCCCACTTTAGAGGCCAGGGCGAGGAGGAGGAGGAGGGAGAGGAGGAAGCGGGGAGGAGCCACCAGCAAAGGAGGCTGAGAAGTGGGGGGTGTGGGGGGCGTGGTGGGAGGGCAGATTATTCTGGAAGTCCGCCCTGACCGTGTGGGTCTCCTGTTTGGAGCCCTTTCCAGCCCCTGGGGTACAGTGCATACTTTGGCCCCAAGGCAGGTCGTCAACCCCCCCTGCCTTCCCTCCCTCACATGGAGCACAGCCTTGGACAGCCTTCTCTGAGTCCAGGCCGCCTTACCGCCTCCACGCCTTGGCTGAGGCTCCTCCCTCCACCCGGATCAGCTCTCCCCAGCTTCCCACCTGTGTTCATCGTTCAAGGTGTGCTTACCTCTGGTCTGAGAGTCCTTCCCGGTGCCCTCGTTCAGAAAGGATTTCCCCCCGCCACGTTCTGGAAGTGAATTGAAACCAGTCGCCCTTCTGTCAGCCAGTGCCTGGTGCTGTGTAGCTTAAACATGTCTTGCTGCTGCTGAGTTCTTTTCCTGCTTGACTCTCGGGAGGGGGACAGGGGGTAGGTGAGAAGAAAGCTTCAGGGACACCCCAGCGGCCCCCCATGTGCCTGGCCATAGTATTTGGGTCCTCACCGTGGCTGACCTTGATCTCAGTCTAAACCAGAGCTTAATTAATTCTGCACTAGTATTTGCCAAGTGCCTGTTACAGGCTCAGCCCTTTGCTGGGCTCTACTGAGGACTTCACAGATAGCAGTCAGTCCCCAGAGGCCACCACCAGTCACGGCAGGGGGCGTGGGATGGTCACTCCTGTGATGAGCTCAGGGCACAAGAGGACAACAGGTTTCCAAGTGTCGAGTCGATGGCAAGTGGCGAGCGGCAAGCCAGTGGGGCTTCCTGAAGGAGGAGGCTTTGGCATCAGGCAGATCGGGCTTAAAGTCACTCGAAGCACGATAACCTTGAATAGCCCTTCTCTTCTGAGCCTGTTTCTCGTTTGTAAAAATAAGGACAATGGTGTGGCCCTCTCCCCAGGATTTTCTCAACATAAAATGAGGAGGCAGGCCTAACACACCTGACCTATAGTAGATGTTCAATAAACGTGAGTCCTTTCGCTTGACCTCATCTTCCTCACACATAAAGAAGTAGTCAAGTGCATCGGTGTTGACGGCCTGAGTTTGGGTCCTAGCCCTACTTTCCCAGCTGTGTGTCCTTGGGCAGGTCACTTAACTGCTCTGTGCCTCACTTTCCTCATCCGTAAAAGGGGGCTAGTGGTGGTCCTTGCCTCACGGCGCTGATGGGAGACCACATGGCGGGAGGTGAGCAAAGTACCTAGAACAGCAGCTCCTCCCTCCTGAGCCCTTCGGACCTTTTCTGCTGTTACACATCCTCGCCTGGTCCGTGGAGCATTTGAGATGTGAGTCGGGCAGAAGTGAGTCGGGAGACAGGGCTTGGGAGCTGCCAGCAGGCTTCCTCTGCCGCGGCCCATGTGTCTGCAGGATCGGGGGCAAGTCGGGGAGAAGCCGATCCACAAGCCTTGGGGGTCTTATTATCGGCGGTAGGGGGCTCCCTGGCCCCCCAAACGCCCATTCCCACCATGACACCAGCCCCGAGTGTCAGGGTCCAAGCTGACACCTGAGGGGCAGACACATCAGTTCTACCTAAGGCAGAACATAAGGGGCAAAAGCATGCGGAGGGGGTCCCGGGCCTCTGGGATGTGTTCAGAAGATTGACCGTCAAGCAGCCCTTGCGGGCCTGGCGGCTCCCGAGGGCATCTGTCAGGGTCCTGGAGCCTCGTCAGACCTCCCTGTCGTCTGCCCCCCAATCCTCCTCCCAGAGAACCTGGCAGGCCACGGGCGCTGTCTCCCTGATGGGCGACGGTAACACCGTAAATGATAAAACCAGAGTCGAGGCCAGCAGCCTCCCTGTCACCGGGTGGGGCAGAGGAAGCAGGAAGCAGGGCTCGGCGAGGAAGTCGGTCTTCCCAGAGTTAGTCCCATGGCTGCTTCTCAGCCTTAGGGGACCCAGATAAGTGGGGGCCCCCAGGAGCAGCGGGGAAGGTGGGGCCCCTCAGAACGAGACGGGAGGTCAGGCCCCGGGCCTCGCCTGCCTCCCACGCTGACTTTTTGGCCTCTGTTTGAATTTTCTGCCGGCCTGGCCTTGGGCATTACTAGGCCCTTGTGTTGGGGCTCCGACATATCCTTTCTTGTGTCTCGTGTAGCATCTGTAGCCTGAGTGTCACAACCTGAGTCCGGCTGTTCCATGGCACGCAGACTCTGCTCAGGAACCCCCACCACTAGCTCCCCACCCCGGTGGGTGCCACCAAGGTGGGAGCCCGGGTGGACAGAAAGAATACCAGCCCTGAAGGCCGACAGGCAGCTGACCCCAGCTTCCTTGCCGACCTTCACCCCACCCCCGTGTTCCTGGCTCAGACTTCAGGTGTCTCTCCGGGATGACGCGGGGGTCCCGAATGGTCGCAGGCCCCCAGCCACCCCTCCTCCAGTCCGCGGTCTTTGTGGTGATGGGGTGGTCTGGAAGTGCCACGTTGCCCTCGGGGGCTCCCCATTGCCCACGGGGCAGAGAGCACGTGCCCGAGCCCAGCATGGAAGGCTGTTCCCCTCCCCCCCGAAGTCTTCCCAGACCCCTTCTCAGACTGGGGCTCCTTGGCTCCCGTGTGAGGGGTCCCCTGTGTCACCCACCTGGCTACGATGTGGTGACAGGCCCGGCTCGTTGCAGTCAACACGGAGCTTCTTGGGAGCAGGGTCGGTCCCCGTAACTGTCACTGAGACACAGGCCATGATGGGTCGAAGCCCACGGGGCCCTGGCGGGAAAGGGGTGTATATCGTCTGCCACCTGTGGCCACAAGGAGCTCGGGGCTGGGGCACCGAGGTGGACAGCTCGGACCCTCCAGGACCAGCCCGCCCTGGCTGGAGGGAAGTGCTCCTGGCTGTTCTGAACGGTGGCCACTCCTCCCCGACGCATGGCCAGCCCAGGACTCCGGGCTGCGGCGGCAGCCGTGTGCCTGGGACTGGAGTGAGCATCACCGAGGGGGCCTGGAGGCCTGTCCCTGAGCCCCGGGGGGGGGTGGGGGAGCCCTCGGCCTGCATTGCTCTCATACCTGTCTCTCTCCTCTCCCCAGGATGTTCGATGAGCGAATTTTCACAGGTATGTGCGGGTACCATCCAGTCCATTCTGAACCTCTGAGCTGATGCCCCCGAGGGCTTGAGCCGCCATCCCTCGGGGACCCTGGCGTGGGGAGGGGGCCTGGGCGTGGCCACCGCACCCCGGGCAGACACAGCCCCCAGCTCCCGGTGCAGGCGCCCCCTTCAGGGACAGTAAAGCTAACGTTTGCTGAACACTGACGTGTGGCGGGCAGTCTGGCTGGGAGCCTGTTCTGTTCTACTTTAATTTCGTTTTGAACAGTCCTGTGAGGCGGGTTCTGCCAGTAAGCCGTGAGGCTGGCCGCAAACCCAGGCGTGTGGCCCCGAGCCCGGGCTGTAACCAGTAGGCGGCATGCCCCTCAGGAAGAAGAGGAGGGCTCTGCGTGATGCAGCAAAGGGGGCAAGGATCTTGGGGCGCAGCAGACCTGGGTCCTAGTCCTGGCCCTGCGGCCCGGCAGCTTTGTGACCTGGGCAGGGTTATAGGAGCCTCACTTTCCACATCTGTGAAACGGGGGGTGATGAGGGCACCCAACTTCCTCTGGGGTTCTCCGATAATTAAATGAGAGAGGGCTCCCGCAGTATGGCCTTGGGGGCATTGGCCATTTTCTGGAGGGTTCCCTCAGCCTTAGGAGTGTACGTGAGGTCGGGACAGACGTCCTGTAATCCTCCCGGATCCCTGGCCTCCTCCGGCGCTGGGGCCCATGTTCCTTCTCCCAGGAGGCATCTCTGCTCAGGACCTGTTCCTGGCCTGGCAGAGGCCAGACGACCCACAAAGGGCGCTCCCGAGAGCCTCACACCAAGGCCCGTGCCCACGTGTCCCACAGGCCAGAGGCTGGCGGGCCTTTGTCCTGATCTTCCTCGTCTCTCCACCCAGGGAACAAGTTTACCAAAGACCCCACAAAGCTGGAGCCAGCCAGCCCACCGGAGGACACTTCTACAGAGGTCTCCCGTGCCACTGTCCTCGACCTGCCTGGGACTGCTCGGTAAGGCCCCCCACCGGCGCTGGGCTGATAGTGTCACTGCAGTGGGGAGCAAGGCCTGGGGCTGGCCAGAGGATGCTGTGCCCGGCGTCTCCTGACAGCCTCACACCGCGACACCCCGGGTAGGCACAGGGTCACTCCACGCAGAGCCCCCTCCCGCCTGTGTCCCCACCCTGCTGCGGGCCAGGGAGAATCTGAAGGGACAGATTCTCTGCCGACCGTTTTCCAGCTGGAGAACCCTTGTCCCCACTCAGGATCTCAGCCGGATGTTGCCTGATGTCTCTCTCGGGAGCCCTTCCTTTGCACCCAGACTAGGTCAGGCAGCGGTCCTGCGTGTCCACAAGGCCCTGCGCTCAGCTCACGGCCTGGTCGTCACCGCCCGCCAGTGCCCCCCCGACCCGGGCTCTGGGCTCCTGGGGGCCAGGGATGGTCCCTTTGTCCCAGAATCACCGCATCCAGCCCAGGCCTCCCCCACAGTGCTCTGTGGAGTTACTGAATTCCCCATCCCAGGGGCCCTGCCCAACTTTGCTGCCCACCTCTCTTCCCAGACCTCTGTCCCCACTCCAGGCTGGTGGCCTCTCAGCTCCCCCTCCCACCAGGAAGTGCTGATTGAACCCCACCGTGCTCAGTTGTGGGGCTCCCAGACTGGCCGGACCCAGGCCCCAGGAGCTCCCACCCGGTGGGGAAGGTGGGTGCCCAGACTGTTCACCCCAGGGTAGGAAGCAGAATCTCTGCTGGGCCAGCCGGCAGCTGTTGTCCTGAGAGACCAGGCGCTGGGAATCTCGCTCATGGGGAGGCCCATCCTGTGAGGACGGGAGTGACCGTGGACAGGGGTGCGTTCGGCATTGGCAGCCTCTGTGGGTTCCTGGCTGCCTGAGGGGCTGACGTGTGTTGTTTCTTGGCTTCCTTCCTTCCTTCCTTCCCTCCCTCCCTCCCTCCCTCCCTCCCTCCTTCCCTCCCTCCCTCCCTCCCTCCCCCCCCCCCCCCACCCTCCCTCCCTCGTTCCCTCCCTGCCTCCCTCCCTCCCCCACTTCCTTCCTTCCTTCCCTCCGTCCCCCCCTTTCTTCCTTCCTTCCTTCCTTCCTTCCCACAGGTCAGAGAAGAACGGTGTGTCTGAAGACTGTGGGCCAGGTAAGGAGACGCAGAACCCTGCTGTGTGTGTCCTGGGGTTAGAGGGCATCTGCCAGCCCCACCCGGCAGCCTTGGGGAGGAGACCAGCTCAGACCATGAGCTGGGAGTACTGCTAATGAGTTACCTCTGCCCACCCCTGCCCCCCAGGCCCCAGAGCATGCTGGGAGCTCCCTGGTGGGGGGGCTGGAGGCTGGAGGTGGGGGGGATGTCAGGAGACCTGGATTCTGGCGTTACCACTACTCCTTAGTGTGTCTGTGACAAGTGGCTTCTCCTCTGTGTGCCTCAGTTGCTGAGCCTATGAACTAGAGACCCCAGGACGGGCCTGAGGGCCTGCTTGACCCTCCACTCCTGGTCTGGGCAGGAGCTTGGGGCCAGCCTGACTTTTCCCGGGGCCCTACTAACAAGTCACAGACACAGGAACGTTCCAGAATCAGTTCGCTTTGCCCGGCCCAGCTCGCA